AGCTTTGGGGCTGTTTTTTTCCTAAAACATCTTAGCAAATACTTCACCATATTGTAGATAATGTAATTAGAGTAAATAATCTTGTTCAAAGAGAAGAATGAGTCCATGAAAGACATACATATAAGGCTTTGTAAATTGATTGAGCCGAGTCATCTCATTCTCTCCTTGTATATTCAGCTAATTCATTTGCTTTAAATGCGGCAAATTTCAACATGTTTTCATCAAATCGACGCTTCTCCAAGTCGCTTTGTTGCTTTCTTCCGCCTCCAGCAGGTTGCTTGATTTGGACCAAACTTGGAACATAAGTGCAGATATGTGGCTTACATCTAGGGTCGGTAGGTCCTGGGAGGATCTCAAATTGTCTTAAATTTCCAGCCTCTATAATGTTAACCCCATGGCCTTTGCATTGTCGGCATCAAACCCAATGGCGACTTTCTTCTCCTCGTCAATGAAGAAACCATCGGTTAAAAATGGAACCCATAGGTCAGATTCCCCATCCACTCTCAAGAACTTGCTCCAGGACACCTCTTGGGCCTCAGTCTTAGTCGTAATCCATATGTTAAGCTCATGTGGACTTGCTGTAGTGTGCTGAAGTAAAACGGCGAGCTTCTCTTCTCTAACACAAGATAAAGTCACAACGTCATATTCTCCAGCGCTAAACGGCAGAGACATAAGCGGTCCAAATCTCTCTTTTGTGAAATCAAAACAGATTATACGATCAACTTCGTCATCTAATCCCCTTCTTGCTGAAACACACAAGTAAGCGTTTCCCTTGAGAGAAACGCCAAGGTCAATATTCCGTTTACCCCAGTGTGGAGTGACATCAAGAGTAGTCCATAAACCAGAGTCGAAATCGTAGATTTCATAACATAAAATTTTTTCTTCGGGTTTATAGTCGTAATAATCTAAAAACCTCAAGAGTTTGAGGCTGCGACAAGATTTCTTGTTCTCGTATCCGAGAGCGTAACTGAACATGTCACATCCATATGAATGGTGAGAATATCTTGGTACGATCCACCGTGTTTGCCCTAAATACGGATTCCAAACCAGAAACCTAGAATCACCTTCAAAGATGCATAACAACAAGCCCTCACAGTGAAAGACTATCTTGACTTGTTCTTCAAGGCAACTAAGTTTACCTTTTAACTTCTATAGATGGATCAACGTGGCCGACGACGACGCTCATTGAAGAAAGTTTGTAATCCATTATTGCGATCATCGTAGACTCACCTTCTCTTGTTGCTGCTGCTGATTTAGCAATATGCATCTTCGTAAAGCTCTCACTTTTCGATAATTTGTTCCACTTTTTGCAAGTTGATCGAACTGTTTTCATAGATTTCAAGGGAACTCTTGAGAGAATCTCCTCTGTCAATTCCATTGGAAGATTGGAGATCATCGTCTTCATTGTTTCAATTTGCAATCAAGGGTTCGTTTTTTTAAAGCTTTAAACCCCTTTTATTCTTTTCGTATTATACAAGGAAGAACATACGGAAACCCTAAAAGAAGAGATGGCCCAATTTGAATTTCTAGTTGGGCTTTTTATTTTGTTTGATGTTACTGCATCGCACAAGACCAATTTGATACAATTCTCCTTTGTAAGTTTATCATTGTTTTATTTTGTTGGTAATCTATATTATTAGTGGACTACTATGTCTTACTTATGCAGAATTCTTCTTCTTTCTTTGTGATATTTGAATTATTCAGATTCTAAGTATTAAAGAATTACAGATTTTTAACATCAATTATATTACTTCCATGGAATGGAATCAGGAGACTTTAGAAGCTTATAGCTTTGCAAAAGAAAATTACAAAACGAAGGGATAAAAGAGTCAAGTAAGATCCAATTCAGAAAAAACAATTCAAATATAAGCTTCAATAATACGTATATGTATT